GGAGCTGGTGAGAGATGCAGGCGCACGAGCTGCGGTCTAACCCGACCCGCAGCATTCGCAGCTGGATGTGGCCTGGGACCCGGGTCGAAGTCTGAGCAAAGCAATCTCACAGCAAAAAAAAAAAAATGTTTCGATAGAGTTTAACCGGACAGGGGCGGGGCGGGGGCAGGATGGAGTTTGGCCATTCGACCGGGTGGGACGCGCCCCACAGAGGGGCGGAGCTCGGGCTCCTATTTCTTCGGAGTGGCCTGGCTCCTGCCACCATTGCCGACCGTCCAGGGCTGCCTTCCCTGCCGCCATGGGCCTGCAGCTCTGCCAGAGGGATGGACTCCTCTGAAGGACTCAGGGTGGGCGCCCAGCCCGGCCCGGCCCTGCCCGCACCATCCCGTGGCCCCTGGGAGGACGGCAGGAGGGAGGGAGGGGGTCGATGGAGGAAGGGGTCAATGGGGAAAGGGAGGTCCAGGGCTGCCTTCCCTGCCGCCATGGGCCTGCAGCTCTACCTGGACCTGCTGTCCCAGCCCTGCCGCGCCGTCTACCTCTTCGCCAAGAAGAACGGCATCCCCTTCGAGCTGCGCACCGTGGAGGTGCTCAAAGGTGGGCCCGGGCTGCTTCCCCGGTGTCCACGGCCCGTGCACCCGCTGGCTCCTCGCCCTGCGACTCCCTGAGGCCCCCGCAGTCCACAGACCTCCCTCACCGCCAGTGTCGTCTCCTCTGTGCTGTGTGGCCGTGGGCAGGTCACAGGCCCTCTCTGAAAGGCTGTGTATTCGGCTCCGATGGGCGGAAAGCTGGATCTTCAGTCACCGCCCTAAACAGCACGCCTTAGACCTTGGGGGGACTGTCCCACTGTGGGGGGAAGTAAGGGGTGGGAAGAGCTGAGGCACCCCTCCTCTTGCTCTCCCCAGTCCTGTTTAAGTAACTTCTCCTCACCCACCCGCAGCACCTGGCTGCACCCAGCACAGCGCCCCCGCCCCCCTCACTCCGAAGGTGGCAGGGCAGGGGTCCCGCCTGGGAGTGGGGCAGAAGGCCCAGTGACACTCCCCCCACCCCAGCCCCTGCTGTTCCCAGCCTGGCAGGGGGCTCTGGTTGGAGGAGGGCGGAGCAGGTATGTTTGTTGCCCTCAGGCCTTTTCTATTTTAAGAAATATGTTATTGATTTTATAGAAAGGGAGGGAGGGAGAGAGAGAGAGAGAAAAACAAACATCAATGATGAGAGAGAATCATGGACCAGCTGCCTCCTGCAGGCCCCACACTGAGGATCGAGCCGGCAACCCGCATGTGCCCTGACCGGGAATGGAACTGATGACCTCCTGGTTCCTGGGTCGGTGCTCAACCACAGAGCCCACCGGCCGGGCGGTGCTGGCCTTTTCTGACCTCTTTCTCCGCAGGGCAGCATGTCAGCAAGGGGTTCTTACCGGCCAACAGCCCGCAGAAGGTGCCGGTCCTCAAGGACGGTGACTTTGTCTTACACCAAAGGTACTCTCCTTCCACCTGCCTCTGGAGCCCCCAGCCCGCTGGCCCCCCGGCTCTCCCCGTGCAGGCCCTCCAGACCCCGCATGGCACTGAGGGCCAGGGTGAAGGGTGCAATGAGAGCAGATGGCTGGGGTGACCGGGGCTCCCAGGGTGACACAGCGCCTCCCTACACCTCTCTCTCTTCCTCTTTTTAAAAAATATATTAAGCCCTGGCCGGTTTGGCTCAGTGCATAGAGCGTCAACCTGAAGACTGAAGGGTCCCCGGTTCGATTCCGGTCAAGGGGATGTACCTTGGTTGCGGGCACATCCCCAGTAGGGGGTGTGCAGGAGGCAGCTGATCGATGTTTCTCTCTCATCGATGTTTCTAACTCTTTGTCCCTCTCCCTTCCTCTCTGTAAAAATTGGCTGCCTCCTGCATGCCCCCTACTGGAGAGCAAGCCGGCAACCTGGAAATCGAACCCAGGACCCTTCAGTGTGCAGGCCGATGCTCTATCCACTGAGCCAAACCGGCCAGGGCTGAGATGAGGTTCTTGAAGTACAGAACAGAAGGTCTGGCCAAGGGTTAGTGCCCAAGACCGAGAATAAAGGAGACTCAGGAGGGTACAGTCAGGGGAGAGAGAGGAGGCAGTGCCCGGGGAGCAGGGGTGGGAGGGGAGGTCGGCCGTCAAATGCAGACAACCCCAGGGCCCCACAGGGATGGGGGACAGCTGGAAATGAAGGCCAGGAGCCAGGGTCTTCACAGCCACCGCCCTGCGTCTGTCTCCAGCGTGGCTATCCTGATCTACCTGAGCTGTAAGTACCAGACGGCGGACCACTGGTACCCACCCGACCTGCAGGCCCGCGCGCGCATCCACGAGTACCTGGGCTGGCATGCGGACTTTATCCGGGGCACCTTCGGGGTGTGCCTGTGGACCAAGGTGAGGAGCGCCGTCCGGGGTGGGGGGGCCGTTGCCTGTCAGGGGCCTGGGAGGAGACGGGGGCCACAGACTGAGCCCTCACTTTGCCCGTGTCAGGTGCTGGCACCGCTCCTTGGGGTTCAAGTGCCCGAGGAGAAGGTGCAGCGCAATAGGGTCGCCGTGGACCGGGCGCTGCAGCTCCTGGAGGACCAGTTCCTGGGGGACAAGGCCTTCCTCACCAGCCAGCGGGTGACGCTGGCGGACCTCATGGCCCTGGAGGAGCTGATGCAGGTACAAGCTTGGCTGGCGAGCGGCATCTGCGGGCAGCGCCCTCTTACCGCCGCGCTGAGGCCTGGAGGGCGCCAGGACTCCGCCCAGCAGCACAGAGCGCTTCTGGCTGAACTGGTGCTGGAGCCGCGACCTGCTGCTTCCATCCTGGGCGGGGTTTCCTCCTGGTGCTTTTTTAAAAAAAAATTTATTAATTTATTTTTATTATTTTTAATATTTTTTTATTGATTTCAGAGAGGAAGGCAGAGGGAGAGAGAGAGAGAAACATCAAGGGAGAGAGAGATTCATTGATTGGCTGCTTCCTACATGCACCACACTGGGGATTGAGCCCACAACCCGGGCCTGTGCCCTTGACCGGGAGTCAAACCCATGACCTCCTGGTGCAGAGGTCCCCGCGCAGCCCCAGAGCCTGGGTCGTGCTGGTGCTCCCAGGCCCTGCGGTGGGCACTCTGCCGGGGCCTCGCTCACATGGAGGTTGGAAAAGGACCCTGACTGACGCCTGTGCCAGGCCTCCTGGCATTGGGACCTCCGTGTCTCACCCATGTTCCCATCCATGTCCCCTCAGGTGGTGGCTCTCGGCTACGACGTGTTTGAGGGCCGGCCACGCCTGGCTGCGTGGCGTGGGCGGGTGGAGGCTGTCCTGGGGGCCGATCTGTGCCAGGAGACCCATGGCCCCATCCTGAACATCCTGGAACAGGCGGCAAACAAGCAGGTCCCGCCGCCGCCCCCTGAAGCCCACCCGAGTATGCTGCTTCGCATTTCCAGCATCCCCTGAGGGTGGGGGCGCTGGCCGGCCGGCCGAAGACTAGCAACCTTCCCTCTGTGCCTGACTTGTCCCTTTCACCCTTTCCATCCTGTCTCCGCTCTTGTCTCTGCCTCCGGGAGGAGCTCTGCACAGGCAGGCCCCCCGACTGTCCTCTGCAGCGCCTCTCGGGTGCCGCAGACATAAGCACCGGATGAAAACCCACCATGTGGCCCTGGCCGGTGTGGCTCAGTGGATAGAGCGTCAGCCTGCGGACTGAAGGGTCCCAGGTTCAATTCCAGTCCAGGGCACATGCCCGGGTCGCAGGCTCCATCCCCAGTGTGGGGCGGGCAGGAGGCAGCCGATCCATGATTCTCTCTCATCGTTGATGTTTCTCTCTCTCCCTCTCTTTTCCTCTCTGAAATCAATAAAAAAATATTTTTAAAAAAGGAAATCCCCTCTGTTGCTGTGTGGACCAGGGTGGAGGCAGAGCAGCGGGCCTGGAAGCTGTGAGGTTGGCCAGGCCATGAGAGACCACGGGGGATAAGAGATGCAGGATGTAGAGTGACAGCGAGGCCACAGCTGGCGATATAGGGGCGGGTTGGATGAGGAAGAGGGAAGACTCCTAGGACCTGACCCAGGGAGTTGGGGGGTGCACCCCTGAGGTGGGAGCTCTGGAGGAGGGCAGTCGAAAGGGTGGTGCCTTTACCAGGTCAGGATGGTTACTCTGTGGACAGAGGCGAGGCCTGGGCTGGGGGTGGGTGGGGCATGTGTGTGTGTGTGTGTGTGTGTGTGTGTGTCTGAGATAGTGGAGGGAGGACACAGCAGACCTAAAGCCCTGAACTTTGTGCCTGCAGCTCCTCCCAGCCGGCCTGCCTGTCACCACTACCTGAAGGATTGTGAAGCCACCAGGCTGTCCCAGGCGCAGCTCAGGGCAGCCTGCAGGGCAGGTGCTGGGCCCCATGCAGTGGGAGGGAGCAGGAGGGAGAGTGTCCACGGCTTGCCACGCCCCGTGGATGAGAAGGAGGGCCAGGCTGGGGACCCTGCTTTTGGAAAACCCAGGGCCAAGCCCCAACAGGGGTACAGCTGGACCTGCTGCCAAGCCCGAGATGCCAGGAGGGGTGGCAGCCTGGCAGGGCCCCTAGCCAGTCATGGAGAAAGTGGGCTTTAGGGAAGAGCACAGACCTCAGGCCCCACTTTTTCTTTTAATCCTCACCTGAGGATAGTTTTTCCATTGATTTTTAGAGAATGGAAGAGAGGGAGGGAAGAGGGAGAGAGAGAGAGGAACATCGATGGGAGAGAGACACATGGATTGGTTGCCTCCCACATGTATCCTGTCTGGGGCTGAGGATCCTCTTTCTCCCAATCATTTTCTAGCCACAGTTCAGGTTAGACTGGTCAGTGCCTACTTCCAATCTCCAGTTCTGGAACCTTCCAGGGTTGGATCTCACTGCCCATCCTCCTTCCGGACCCTGCAAAGCCCCTTTGGTCGCTTTCTACAAGGAAGGCCTGGCCCTGGGAAGGAAGTCCCTCGAGTGAGCCCCTTTCACACACTGGCCACGGGCGATCACATGTGCCCGAGGGAGGGGAAGAGCTGGGTCAGAGGACCCCTGCCGACCCCTCCCCAGCCTCCTCCTGTCTCCTCAGAATCCTTGCTGCTGTGAGAATTCCAGGTTGCACGGCCTCATGACAATCCCAAGTGAGACCAGAGTTCCAGAATGCGGGCTCCTGGCCTGGGCGGGAGAGGGCTGCTGGGTACAGGACCTGGGGCTCAGGCTGCACCCAGGCTCGGGGTCAGGGCCTGCTGGCTGTGGCTGGGGGAGGCCTGTTCCGCGTCTCAGCCATGGGCCTGGAGCTCTACCTGGACCTGCTGTCGGCGTCCTGCCGCGCCGTCTACATCTTCGCCAAGAAGAACAGCATCCCCTTCGACTTCCAGTTTGTGGACCTGCTGAAAGGTTGGCACCCGTTGCTTCCCTGGGCGGGCCTGGTCCTGGGAGTAGGCAGAGCACAAGGTGGGGTGTTTCTGGAAAGTAGAGACAGCGACCAGGGAGATGGCCTCTCCCCAGACTCTGCAGGGGAAGGCCAGGTTTCCGAGGGAATCGTAGACTGTGCGTCTGTCCCCACTGAGTCTGCCCCGCTATGATGAACAGGCTCTTGGAGGGTAAAGGGGGAGAAAGAGCTGCAGAGGGGCCCCCTGGCTCCCACCCAGTGCCCTCTCTTTCTCCTTGCGGGAGTCTAGACACTGGTTAGTGGCAGCGCCCACTGAGGACATTGGCAAAGGTACAGAGGTGTCTGGTCATCCCACATCTAAGAGTCCAGAGGCAGCTTTGGTCTACACCATCCTCCACATTCAAATCTGCCCAGACCCAGCGAAGGTCAGGGGACTGGTCTCCAGCACTTCCCTATCCCAAGCACAGAGGCGGCTTTAAAAGCTCAGCTTGCAGGAGCCTATCCCCAGGTGCTCCAGAAATGAATGAGGTGGAGCTCGAAAATGTTTCCAGCCAGTGACAGCTGGTCAAGGGAGAGTTCCAGCTCCTGCCCCCACACTGGGTCAGTAGCCTGTGAAAGGTTCTTTTGTTGAATTCCAGCTGTGTGCTAGGGCTGGGGCTGCCAGCTGCCAGCCGTGGCTTCAGGCCCCAGAGTTGGGAGTAGAACTGGCACCCTCCAGCTTCTGGGAGGGAAAGTGTTGTCCTGGTCACAGAGCCTGAATGGGGGCAGGAGTCCTGATCCCGGTCCCTGTTCTGACCTGCCCTGACTTGCTCTCTGACCTGGGGTGACCCATGATGTCCTCTGGGCCTCAGTTTCCTCTGTTGAGAAAATGGAGGGAAGGACATTTCTGCCTCTGAGATGCCCGGCTCTCTCTTCCTGGGGGTTCTTCCCGGGGGTGTCAGCAGCCTGTCTCTCCTGCCCTTGGCAGGTTACCACCACAGCAAGGAGTACAGTGAGGTCAACCCCCTGAAGAAGCTGCCCAGCCTCAAGGATGGGAAATTCATCTTATCCGAAAGGTACCAGACTGCCCGGGGCCCTGCCCCCGCCTGTCTCTGCTCCTCCTGCAGCTGGTCTGCTGGCACTGACGGACTTATCTTACTGTGGACCATCTCCCCGAGACGCCACAGCAGACAGGGCACTAGCCAAGGAGGAGCATGATGCCCCGTGCGCCCATCACCCAGCTCCAGAAGTGTCCACTCAGGGGCCCATTTGGCATCATCTGTTCCCCACTCTGTTTCCCTGCTTCCTGGCCACCCCATCATCTCATCCATAAAGTTAGGAATGTACTTTCACTTTTCTTTTTTTTCCCTTTAAAAAAATATATTTTATTGATTTTTTACAGAGAGGAAGGGAGAGGGATAGAGAGTCAGAAACATCGATGAGAGAGAAACATCGATCAGCTGCCTCCTGAACACTCCCTACTGGGGATGTGCCCGCAACCAAGGTACATGCCCTTGACCAGAATCGAACCTGGGACCCTTGAGTCCGCAGGCCGATGCTCTATCCACTGAGCCAAACCGGTTAGGGCTCATTTTTCTTTAACATATTTTTATTGGTTTCAGAGAGGAAGGGAGAGGGAGAGGGAGAGAGAGATATCAGCGATGAGAGAGAATCATGGATCGGCTGCCTCCTGCACGCCCCCTACTGGGGATGGAGCCTGCAGCCCGGGCTGATGGCCTTCCCCGCAGCCTCCGGCTCCTCCTTCTGCTGGAGGAATGTCAGTGCGTAGAGCCCGCTGGGGCTGGAAGCTCCGCGCTGGCATGGTGGCTGGTGCAGCCCAGCCGGCCAGCCCGAGCAGTGCCCTCCCTGCCCTCCCTGCAGCGTGGCCGTCCTCCTCTACCTGTGCCGCAAGTACAGCGCCCCCTCGTACTGGTACCCGCCGGACCTGCACACGCGCGCCCGCGTGGACGAGTTCATGGCCTGGCAGCACACAGCCATCCAGCTGCCCATGAGCAAGATCCTCTGGATCAAGGTGAGTGGGCCACGCCTGGGGCTGACCGCTGGGGAGCTTACGCATGTGTCCCTCTGTCCCGGAGCCTCATTTTCTCAGCGCCCCCCCACCCCCAGTGAGGAGCCTGGAGTGACCCACTGGGGGTGAAAGAGCCTTGTAAAGGCCCGGAGAAGGGCACCCAGGAGGGACAGATGTCATTCAAACCAGGATAGGACTCAAGAAATTTCATTCTCAACTAGAATATATCAGAGTCCACGGGCCTATAGACACCAGGGATCTAAAGACGACAAATAACAGTTATTTGCCGCTCCACGACAGACCTGTTCTGAGAAAGTCTTCACCGGGCGATTTTGTTGTGGAGCGTCATAGAGGGGACTTAAACTGACCTAGATGGTGTCACCCACTGCACACTTAGGCCACGTGGCCCAGCCCGCCGCTCCACGGCCGCAAACCTGCGTAGCGTGTGATTGTCTGAAACAGCACGAGCTGAGATCCAGGGCAGGGAAAACGGTGCAATGAGGAGAGGTGACAACCAGAAGACAAGGCTACCGAGGCCTGGTGGGTCAGGCGTGAGCCCTGGGGTGCAGCCGCCTCTTCCCCCCTCTCCCCACCCCCGCCAGCTCCTGATCCCCATGATCACAGGCGAGGAGGTTCCAGCGGAGAAGACGGAGGAGGTGCTGGCTGAGGTGCAGCAAAACCTGAAGCTGTTCGAGGAGCGGTTCCTTCAGGACCGGATGTTCATCACCGGGGACAACATGTCCCTGGCCGACCTGGTGGCCTTGGTGGAGATGATGCAGGTGAGGGCTTTGCTGGCGGGGAAACAGCCCAGGAAGAGGCGAGACTCCTCCGTGGGGCCATGGCTTAGGGATAGACGGGTGTAAGAGGGAGACCTGAGGCCGCGGAAGCCAAGCCTGGGTGGTGGGACTCAATCGGGAGCCACAGGACACACAGGAAGTTTTTAAAAAATATTTATCTTGATTGATTTCCGAAAGGAAGGGAGAGGGAGGGAGGGAGAGAAACATCAATGATGAGAATCATGGATCGGCTGCCTCCTGCACGCCTCCCACTGGGGATCGAGCCCCACAACCTGGGCATCTGCCCTTGACCAGAGTTGAACCCGGGACCCTTCAGTCCACAGGCTGAAGCTCTATTCACCGAGCCACACCGGCCAGGGCCAACACAGGGAGTTTGAACCATGGAGGAGGATTGCTAGCATCCACGCTGCAAAGGATTCCTGGGTGTGGGGGCGGGGGGGAGGGGGAGGGCGAGCCGGGACAGGGATGAGAGCACAGCATGTCTTGGTCAGTTGGCCGGGACCCCAGACGCCTCTGCCTCTGGATAGACGCTCCCGGCAGTGTCCAGAAGCTTCCAAAGCGTCCTTCTGGCTGCACGGCTTCTTCTCCGAGGCCCTGAGAGCTGCACAGAGCAGCTGCCCGGCCTCTGGGCCTCAGGGGCACCCGCTGCGCATTGGGGGGCAGACCTGTGTGTGGGGTATCTATGCCGCTGTTTCATGAGGGGAGGTAGCCGGTTCCAGCCTAGCTGGCTTGCAGGCCAGTTTATTATTTTTTTCAAATATATTTTTATTAATTTCAGAGAGGAAGTGAGAGAGAAATAGAAACGTCAGTGATGGGAGAGAATCATGGCTCGGCTGCCTCCCTCACGCCTCCCACTGGGGACCGAGCCCACAACCCAGGCCTGTGCCGGACCGGGAATCGAATCGGTTCCTAGGTCGCCGCTCAGCCCCTGAGCCACGCAGGTCGGGCAGGATGGCCAGTTTAGACCCTGGCTGGTGTCCTTGCAACTGGCCACTTTGATCCTTGGTCGTGTGCAATGCAGACCAGCACAGGGAAGCCCATTCTAGGTTTTCTAGGTGAAAGGGCCCCTCCGTTTCCCCTGCCCCTTCCTCCCCCCCTTTCCCTTGCCCTCTATAGGCCTCCCACTCATGTTACCTCTTGGGTCTCCCATTCCAGCCTTTTGCTTGACCACAGAGGGAGTTGGGCATGGGGAGGGGTAATTCCTCCCCCCTCATCGGGGATGTGGGGTTTCTCTGGGAGAAGGTGGGACCCACGGGAGGCTTCCCACTGGGAAAAGTAGGAGCCACTTGGGCCAGGGCTCCCCCAGAGTGGGATTAGGGGTCTTGGAGCAGGACCAGTGACCAGAGCCTGGGGGACCCCGGACCTTCCATCCCCACCCCACATCCGTGACAGAGCCCGTGACCCCTGTCCAGGTTGCGGGAGGGGAGCCCCCGGGGCTGGGCCCCAGATGACCATGCCTTCTGCTCTGTCTCCCCACAGCCCATAGGGGGCAACCACAACGTCTTCCAGGCCAGCACCAAGCTGGCCCAGTGGCGCATGCGGGTGGAGCTGAGCATCGGCCCCACCCTCTTCTGGGAGGCCCACAACCGGCTGGTGAAGCTGGGCGAGTGGGACTGCTCCACGCTGGACCCGTCGGTCAAGGAGAGGATCGTCGACTTGCTGCGGAAGTTCAAGTAGAGCAGCCCTCGTGCAGCGCCCGGCTGCTCAGCCCTCTGAGCCTCCTCTCTGGGGACACACACCGAAAACCACTGTTTCTTTGTCCAATAAAGAACCGGAACCACCGCCACGGCTGCCGAGCCTGCGCCCTCGGGGTGGGCACAGGTCTGCTGTGGGAGTGGGTGGGAGTGGGTCCTCCCAGCTCCCAAAGGAATTTAAAAATAAAGGTTAGTG